ATAAATAAATAAATAAATAAATAAATAAATAAATTTGGAAAAAGCAAAAAAATAAATAAATGAAAAAGGCAATCAGACATTTAACTAAACGTTTGGGTTATTGCACTGAACTCAGCAAGTTTCATTATTATTTCACTAACATTACTCCAAGTATTTCAGCCAGCCATAAACTAATATAGAAAAATGCTACCCTAATTTTAACAAAGGTACATTATAATTAACCAACTTGCTAATGCCAACATTATACGATAAAACAGGTGATATAAATTAGTCATAAGTAAATAAATGGAATTAATATTGCAATTATCTGTATGATTTCAAAATTTGTCATAGCTCAGTTTAAAATCTACAATGTAAATATGTATGTGCATACATATAAACACTCATACACATATACATACAGACACATATTTTTAAACATTTATAATGAGATATACAGCATGATATTTTGATATATAAGGGCTAATCAAAATATATGGTGAATTCAAAAATATTACAGTAAAAAATTATTACAGTAACATTTTTGATAAATTGCCTCAAAAAACCCTCCTCACTGCTTTAAACATACCTTTTTCATCATTCTTGCCCCTTTCTGAACAAGTTCTTGAAATCCTTTTATATAAGTATCTTTAAAGTTCTGATCTAAAATACTGCTAATGCTTTTGCTATATGTCATCCAATGGAAAGCTAGGTTTATTAAAACATTATGGTGTATTCTCATATTTATTCACTAAATCTGATGTTGTACAACTTCATGATATGAAAAATAAATATTTTAAATGAATTCAGCACATACAGGCAGCCATGATAGCATAACTAAAGACTCACAAAATTGGACTTCTAGAACTGCTTCAGAAAGTGGCAAAAAGATGATATAATTGTGTTCAAAGTGAAGGGGACAACTTTGAGAAGGATGAGTGTCAATGTGTCTTTTACTGTAATACATTTTTAAAACTTCAGTGTTCACCATATTTAATCACAACTTATATATACATTGTGAAGTCATGACTTCTGTCAAGGAAATTAACATATATGTACTCTCAGACAGTTATCTTTTATTTTTTGTGGTAAACATATCTGAAATTTATATTTTCAGCAATTTTAAGGGTACAATAAACTTTATTAACTATAGTAATCATTTGGTACACAAAATCACTGCATTTATTTTTTCTACATGACTGCAACTTCATATATATATATATATCCCAAATTCTGAAAATGCCAAAAATTTTAAACACTTCTGGTCCAAAATATTTCAGGTAAAGGATACCATTAATAGTCATTTAGCCAAGATTTTCTTAACAGCTACAGTAAGTAGAATTTTGCCATACAGTTTCTTATACTTCATCACATTTATTGTAGAGAGCGATCTTTATGATATTAGATTTCACTCTGTGCTCTGAAAAATATTTCCTAAATTACTCTACTAGACTAAACTATCCTGGGTTTATCTGTTGCACTCTAAGAGTTACTAGTTTATATTTTGCTTATAATTCAGATTTAAAGCACACATGTTTGTACTATTGGAGTTATTCTATGTAAGAGTCATTAGTAGCTGACAATGCCATTATTCATTGAGAATTTTGTATAAGTGGTATTTGGGATTAAATCCAAAATGATTTCATTCCAATATTTCAATATAACCTCATTGTGAAGGGACTCTTTACTTACATGAAGTCTCTACATGTGGGTTAAATCAGTATTCGAGGGTGTTTCCATTATATCGTTTCTGAAATTCTTTCTAACAATCCATGATAGATTGAAGAGTGAATTAACTTTCAGACAGAGAATACAGAGGGAGCAAATAGGTACCTGATCTCTAAATATGTTGGAGACCACAAATTCACAATGAATAATTTGGTGTATGTCTCTAAGGGATAAAATGGAGGCTTGGGATTATCAGCATCACTTTTTTGAGATTTCATATGATCGCTTTAGGGATGGGCCATTTTCTCCTAGCCACTAAGACTAAAACTAATTCCATGAACATGAAAAAAATGCAGGGCAAGCTCCTTCTTGCCCTGGTATAAGAGCATCTTCATCCTTGACCTCTGATTCCTCTGCTAATCCCTCCTATGATTATATACACTCAATAAGTAATGGCTAGACTGCAGTGTCTAGGGCTCTGCCCATCCTGCAGCATTAACCTTTTAACCCCCAATCCTGTATTAATAAATTTGTCTTATATCATTTGTTTTTTATTTTGTCTGTTTGCCAGGCCTCACATAGAGGCAATTTGGGGATGTTGACCAGGTCCAAGTTATAAATTAATCATTCATATTCATCATATAGATTTATGTAGTACAACTTATAAAAAAGCCTTTCAAACACTTGATTTTTAGCCAATTCTAAGTTCATAGCAAGTTGGCTTTCTAAATAATATTCTTTCTTCCCAACACACATTATACTAAAATTTTATATGACATAATTTTTAAAACCAGTACCTACCTGTAACTTTCAGTTCAGTTGTTCGTCTTACAATCTTCCCTTCATACTTAAGTTCACAGGTGTAATTTCCTCCATCTTCTTCTTGAACTTCCTGGATCAGAAGAGCATTTCCCTTCTGTATTATTATGCTTCTCCACATTTTTGGCTTGCATTCCTACAAAGAATATGTTTGCAAGTAAGTGGAACATTAACATTTATATCACTATGCATTACTATTGGAAGATTAGTACTTTCACTTTTATGTATACATCTCTATAGATTTTTAAATATGTAGCTAGGGAGTTAAAATCAAGGGCCAACAACATCATAAGCATATCTTATTGTGTACAATTCAAGTATCATATCTATCACATGAAGAACCACTTCAAAGCCTTGACCTCAAAAGAATACTTTAGCAGCATTGTACAAAAATAGAAAAACATACAATTTCCCTAAATGCAAAGGTTGCATGATACAAATTTAAAAGTTCTTAAATCTTATCATAATGTCCTAGTTCTATTTGACAGGGTTATTTCCTAAGAGTCTTATATGATTCACTAAGATATTTTGTATACTGTAAGGGAGTCTTAAGCATTATTAAAATTTATAAAAAGCTTTTACATTGGCATGTAAGTTTCCAATTATTTCATTCATAATAATTTATTCTATTTTATAAAATATTCTAATATTAATATTGCAGAGGCTCTCTCCTATCACAGAGATTAATTTGAAGGGGAGATAAATTAGGTTTAAAGAGCTCTCTAGAAGTGAAGGTAGGCAAAATGGGGATGCAATTGGTTATAGTAGCAGCACAGAGAAATCATGCAATTAATTTGTAAGTTCTGTGATATACAATCAGAGTATAAAATTTAACTTTTAAAGTCAGTTCTCAGGCCAAGAAGATGGTTCAGTAGAATAAGCACTTGCATGGGAAGTGCAAGGGCCTGAGTTCAATCCTCGGTTCCGCCAAAAAAAAAAAAAAAAAAAAAAAAAGAGTCCTTTCTCTTTCTCTCCTAATGGGAACTTAAGGAAGGCTTACTACTTGGATTGAAAATTCCTAGAAAAGTATGTACAACAATTTTCCAGATAGTGACATTTTTCCACAATGTACCACAAAAAAAAAGAAATTAAGAATATTCCATCATGTATCATATTCTGTTGGAAATTTTCTCACACATTGTTTTATATTTTGTTTCAGTCTATCTGGTACTCCAAATTTTCATCCATAGTGGTAGCCAAATACTGTACAAACCTTATTAGAAATACAGGGAATAGGTATGAGAAGTTGAATACTTGGAACAAAAAACATTTATTATGCAAACTGTGAATCTTTCAGCTGAGGCAATAACAAAAGTGATTGTGAAGCAGATTATGTAGACAATAGTTGAAGTGCTTTCCAGTTTCCCCAGTAAAGTGTATACAATATCTGTACTTACTTGCATCTTCCTCCCACTTTACCCTTTACACACACATCTTAAACACTTGTGCGATATTAAAATCAGTACTGACTCTATGTTCTCACGTGTGTGTGTGTGTGTGCATGCGTGCATACGTGTGTGTGTGTGTGTGTGTGTGTGTGTGAATTGTGGAAGGGTGAGTACCCATTTGTTAGTTTTTCCCAATAACATTATTTGTTAGCAGAAATTTGACAAAAAAACGGAAAAAATGCCACTGAATTTCAGAAGTATAATATTTAAGAGATATGATTGCTTTATATCCAATAAAACTATCAACATACATATGCAAAGATGAAATAAAAGTAATGCAGTGGAGGAGATCTAAATATTAGATTGCTTCCCTCTCTAGGGCCTTTCTTAAGAATAGTCAAAAATCTGTCTGAAATTATATTACATATCACATCAAGCAAAGTTTGTCACCTACAAGAGATTTGCTTCCGAGTTAAACCTTAGGATATGATGTTTCTGGTAAAATTAACAAAGAAGAAAAAAAAAAAGAAGGAAAATACAGCCCAGCTGCTACCATGATTATTGTATTATCATCTGATAGTAATACACAATTAAATTCATATTTCTTCTAACTATAATAGTTTCAGATTTCTAAAGAATCATTCTGAAGATTATTAAACAAAATACAGGGTCCCTCTGGGCATTTTGAGAAGAAAAGAAAATGAAAATTGAGTTGGTGCACTTTCACACAGAGATGGTAGGAGTGGGCAAATGGGCCGACACATTTATTTTAGTCAAAGACAAATGGTGTTGTTTTGGGTATGAGTTCATATGGAATTATTCCTAGCTACTTTCATTTTCCTATTCACTGCTTTTATTCTTTCCCCACGAAACAAACACTAAAGAATGGACAGAAATTGGGAAATAATTCTTGATGAAAAACAGCTTGATATATTTAATGTTGAGAGAGAACTAGAATGATTGATCCAAAATGCCTTCCAGGCTATCACTTAGTCTTATAAAGATTTTAAAAAATAAACAACCAAGATTGGTTTGTGTTTAAAAAATTTTGGCATAAGAAAACGTTGTGTCAAGTCACTTTTACCTCTCTAGAGACAATGTAATGATGAAGTACACTGTTTTATTAAACAAAGATATCTGTACTTTGAAATTCAGAATACATCTGAATTCTGTTATCTCAAAAAAATTTGCTGAACTCTGGATGTACTTTTCTACTTTAAATTTTAAGAATATTAACTACCATCTTAGCAGCAAGAATCCAGATGCTTGCAAGACCTAATCATCACATTCATGTGGAGCACCGCTATGGTATACATAGTGGTTATCCTGCACTTAGAATGTTCACCTTTACTAAATTTTCTCAGTCCTAGATCATTGTAGTCGACCGTTAACTGGTGGTCAACTTGCTACACCCAGCTAAATCGAGCTAGTGTGTTTCTGGGAGTGGAAGGCCCACTCAAGGATCATTGTCAGCAGCATAAGAGGCAGAACTGGAGAAGATGTTCAGAGGCTATTAGGGAAGCTGTTTGGAGAAGCTGTTAGGGGGCTGTTGGAAGCTGCTGGTTCTCTTGGGCTTTTCTGCTGGGAGACCTTGTCATTCTGCCTTTCCTGATGAAGTTGGCTGTTCTCAGAGGAGAATATTGGAACCTTGTTGTTGCTGAGAATGGCTATGGTTCATTTTGGGGGAGCTCTGGTCTTCATCTCGAGTGTTGCTTCCTGGCTCCAGATAGGAAGATGGTGCACTGCTCAGCCTTCTGGAACAGCTTAGCATATTGGCTTTCCTTATAGGAACACAGATTTCCTCATTGCAGGAGGAGAAGCTTGGGATCTCACTGTTGCTGAGGATGGCTGTGGTACTCTTAGGGGTGCTCTGATTCTTACCTTGAGCATAGCTTCCTAGATGCAGTTCAGATCCCTCATGCAGCTAGCACAGATCTTTCATCCCACTGGCACAGACTTTCTAGCTGCAAGCACTGACTTTTGGGTCATCCCCATGCAGATCTATGAAGCAGGCCTGTATGAGACATTGTTGTGGGCTTGAAGCCTCCAGTTGGACTTATGAAAAGCATTGTGGGCTCTAGGTTTTCAGGTGAGCTCATGCAGGACATTTGGATCCAGGTCTTCAGCTGCATACTTTGGTCTTTAGTGTGTGAACAGATTTCCTGCCCTCTTTGTATATGATCCTTTGAATGATTATAAAATAATCTTATAAAATATGACCTGCACTTTATTGTTCCCCTTGCAAAACCCCCAAACTATGACAATCATATATCTTCAGAACATCTAGCATTGCTTCACTGAAATATAGTTCCTTTACTCGTGTCTTCTACTGGTGACAGCAGAGGCAAAGCTGAAAGTGGACCACTATTTTTCTCTGTCTCATTTTTTGTTTTGATGGTAGTTTTGACTATTTTTTCTTTCATTGTTTGACTTTGTTTTCATATGAGTGTGAATGTGCTCTTTAGTTTCTTTGTGGTTGTGGTTCTGTCCATCCTTTTTATTGCTTCCTTCTTTCTTTCCCTCCAGTCTTTTGCATCAGTTTCCCAAAGTTAGCATGATTTCCCTTTGTCCTCCAACCTTATTTATAATATATTCCTTTTCTTCTACTTGTCTATATTCTCTCTCACCAATTTTAAATTTTAATCCCTGAGGGCAAAATTGACGTATTAAGGACTTATATACTGCATATGATTTTCTGATATATTTTAGATTTTCTTATATAATGACAAATTTATTCATAGGTTCAAAGTAGAAAATTAATGGTTAGTGCAGTTTCCAAAATTCTATGCTGTCTTTGATTTTGTTGTGATTGCTGATGGTATGACTATAGGCACAAATGATTTAATTTTTCTAAGTAGCTATTTTTCCTGTTATTTCAAGACTGAGATTGAATAAGGGTCACAGAAAATACTGTGCCACAGTGCCACTGTTGAAATGGGATGATTCAAACAAACAGAAACTTCTCATCTCCAAAAAATTGAAGAGTTGAGATCTTGAAATAGACACAAACTTCAAATGCCAGCTACATTTGGAAGATACATTAAGGGTTCTAAACCGTAGCACTAAAATAATTATCTGTACACAATTTACAGACCTCACCCAGAAATTACACTAAAACAAGAGAAGTAACTGAGAAGACATTAAACAAGATGCAACCTAATACATCCAGTTCACCAAAAGCAAAATAGGGGGCAATGAGATGGGACAATCTAAAAGCCATCAACCTGGACTCTCTGAAGGGGTAACAACAAAGCAACTGAGTGAGGCTTAAGAAAAAAATCAAATCAGAAATAATATCTCAGATAATTGCAGAGATGGTGCTCACAATGGCAAGCATGATTAGTCACCCTAGAGCAGATACAGAGAAAAAAAAGAGGAGCTTAAAAAAATTAGGGAAGTCTTGCTCAGGGAGAGGAATTGAATCCATAAAGCAGATTCAAACAGATGTTTGGGAGAACCGAAATTCCACTGAACATGTCTGCAACAGATGAAGCCAATATGAGGACAGCATCCAGATATAAACAACAGATTTGCAGGTAGTGATCATGAAAAGAAAGATTTCATAAAATTATAATATTTCATGTGACAGTAACCTGCAAAATATCCAGAGTAGCTATCCTATTTCCAGACAAAGGGAATTTCAAGCCAAGACTGATTAAGAAAGAGAAAGAATGTCACTACATCCTTGTAAAAGGAATAATCCAAGAAGAGATATCAATCACGAATATATGTACAACAAATAACAGTG